ATATATATATATATGTAATCCAAATCGCACATTTACTGAATCTAATCCTTTAGCCTGAGTGGCTGCAGGTTATCAGAAAGAACTTGTGACGTTCTGATGTCAAAGTCTACCAGTCTAAGAGAGCTGGACTTAAGTAAGAACCACCTGTGGGATTCAGGCATCAAGCTTTTGTCTACTGGGCTGACAAGTCCACACTGTAGACTGGAAACTCTGAGGTGAGGTCACATTCTTACACTAACTTAGCCAAACTTTGTTAATTTTATTTTAGTGCTATTTATTGTTTTAACATAACTTAATTAATTTTAATTACAGAGTTTCTGACTTAATCTTTGGTGTTTATAAATATGCCAATACTTAAGACTTCTAATATCCTTTAATTTGGCTTGGTTTGTACCATAGTTTAAATATGTTTGAGCTTTATATATATATACACATATTTTGTTCATTCTGATAATGAAAGTCAAGGGTAGATGGATCACAGAAATTACATGGAGAAACATTCTTAATTTTTCAGGTTGAATCACACAAATCTCACAGAGAAATGTGGTCAAGATATCTCACTGGTCCTCAGCTCTGACTCTTGCAGTCTGAGACACCTGGATTTGAGTAACAATGACCTACGAGATTCAGGAGTAAAACTGCTTTCTACTGGACTGAGGAGCCCACACTGTAGACTACAAACGTTTGGGTATGCATCTGAGGAATATGTGTTGCACTGTAAGGGTCATTGTGAAAAGACTGGACAGGCAGCCAACTGTGACAAGGGGACCCATTTTTTTCCTAGTAGACGATTTGCTCTTAGATTGCAGACTTAACATGTGGTTCCTAAAGCATTTAAATGTAGAATGGAAGTCGACATCATAGTCTTCAGCTGTCAGGATGGTTGTCCCTTCCTAAACCCTGGCTAGCAGTTTCTTCAAGTTAAAAGGTTTTTTTTCTTTCACACTGTTGCCAAGTGCTTGTTCATAGGGGATCAACTGGTGGCTGGGGCTTCATCCTAATATTGTAAGGTCTTTACCTTGCAATATAAAAAAAAAACAACTTGTGGTGACTGTTATTGTAAATTGGCATAATGTAAATAAAACTGAACTAATGTTGTGTTTGCACACACACTCCATCTCCATAAGACAAAGGTTATAAACTACAATGAAAATAACCCTTAAGAGCTACATTTAAAACTGCTGCAGAGTCAATAAAACTAAATAATTAATAAAAACCTAAACCTACACAACAGCAAAAAAAAAAGCAAAAAAATAAATAAATAAAACATCTTCACTAAACAGTATGCACAAACAGCCACAGTTATGAACGTGCAAACATTTTCATTTAACTTCTCAGATAGCATAGTGTACAAAGCAAGAGAGGGGTTTTTTTGTCTGAAGTTGGACTAATGAATTCATAGTTGTGGTGGACAGACTGAGTGCAGATTCTTATGAGCACTTTCTGTTTCTTTTGCAAATCTTGAACAAGACCATTTTTAAAACTAGCTGCTGTACCTGAGGAATTACTTCTTTGCTTTGAAAGAGACGTGAGAGGTACTTTACAACTGTCTCACTTGCATATGACCATCTGCACCAATTATCATGCAAATTATATATTACTTTTAGGTGGATGGATTACTTTTGAAAAATCCTAACAATGTCAGTTTTGCACTCTTGTAGATTGTCAGGTTGTTTGATCACGGCAGATGGCTGTACGTCTTTGGCGTCAGCTCTGAGGTCCAACCCCTCCTATCTGAAAGAACTCGACCTCAGTTATAACCATCCAGATGAGTCGGGAGTAAAGCTACTATCTGTGGGACTGAAGGATCCAAACTGGAGACTGGACTCCCTCAGGTATGATGTACATTGGAGTACAGGAACTGTAGAAATGCTAAAGGACTCCAGTCTGGTCTGACTTTGATTTTCCCCTTCCAACGAGGACCACAGTGGTCTTCAGAGGCTGAAATCTGGTCTGAGGAAGTGTAAGTATGTTAGATGTAATACTATATTTCTGGTTTGATTTAAAACCTTCAGACTTACTGCTGTATTTCTCACCCTTTCCTCTCTGTGTATTCCTTAGATGCATGTGAACTAACACTGGACCCAAACACAGCCCACAAAAATGTTGTCCTGTTTGAGAACAACAGAAAAGTAAGACTGTCACCAGAGAAGCAGCCATATCCTGAACACCCGGACAGATTCGACTGGTGCTACCAACTGCTCTGTACAACGGGTCTGACAGGCCGCTGTTACTGGGAGGTGGAGTGGAAAGGAGGGGTTGATATTGGAGCGACTTACAAAAGCGTCAGACGGAGGGGAGCTCTAGATGGCAGCAGGCTTGGATGGAATGAGAAATCGTGGAATTTAGAGTTCAATGATAAAAACATCTACGCCTGGCACAATAATATGAAAACAGTTCTCCTTGCTCCTCTGTCCTCTGCCTCTGAAAGACTGGGAGTATATTTGGACTGGACTGAGGGCACTCTGGCTTTCTACGCAGTCTTGCCGGATTCACAGATTCACCTGTACACCTTTTTCTGTGGTGCCTTCACTGAACCACTTTACCCTGGGTTTGGGTTCTTATCAATAGACTCTTCTGTGTCACTGTTAGAAATATAATCTATCCAAAAAAGGCTAATTTTTCCTGGTGAAATAGCCGTAGGTTTCAGTAATGCAGCAAAAAAAAAAAAAGCAAAATATTTAATAGATGTTAAAAAGAAGAGGCTGTGGTTTTTAAAAATGAGATTTTTAAAAATGCACCTTTTGTCTAAAAAAGATGTAGTTTTTTTTCTATAGTTTTAATATTTGAATATCTGACAGATGTTGCTTCTTTTTTGCTAATTAAGTCAAAGTTTGGACATCAAGCTTGGTATGAAAAAAGTAAACAACTATAAGAAAAAGAAGAAAACAAGCGCCAAAAAGTTTGACTTTAAGTGATGAGATCAGCCAATGATTGAAGTCATATTTAAGTAAAGATCATGTTTATTGGAATATGTTTAACCCCCTAGGACCTGGCATCTACATATGTGGACATCACATTTTGGGTTATTTACATCAAAATACTCAATTTTGCTCTACAAGGGTCTGATATCCACTTACGAGGACATTATACTGCTACTGTTCTATCGAAATTTTAAACAAATATCCTCATATGTGGCTCTCATTTTTCTTAGAAACAAAAATCAGGTAAAAAAAAAAAAAAAATTCTGGTAATTCTTTGTTTTTATATTCATTGGGTCCCAATGTGCCCAATCAAAGAGAAATTAAAAATGCATGCCGTGGAAGAGTTCGGGTCTTAGGAGGTTCAATTAAATTAAATTAAATTATTATTATTATTATTATTATTATTATTATTATATTAGTAGTAGTAGTCATTTTTAGCCAGGCCTTTATCATTTTGTTTGTACGCGTACAAAAATCACAGATTTTTATTATTCAGGCAGTGTGACGGTAAATGTAGAATAACCAGTTGACATAACCCATGTGTTTCTTTGGACTGTAGAAGAAAGCCACGCAGTCAAAGTTTCAAACTCAAGAGTTGCTTGGTGTGGGGTGACAATGCTAATCACCAAACAGCACCCACACAGCTGTTTATAAAATACAATGTGAAAAATAAATATGAAAATATTTATTTAGAAATACCAGCATTTGATTAATTTACAGTAAAACAAAAAAGAAACGTAACATCCTACAAGATAGTGCAACACTTTGAGAGACCTAGTATTCAGCGCTTTACTCTCCAAGCTAACTATTGTATAGCTGTATGCTAATTAAAAGGCTGCTAGCATTCGTGATGTTGATAGTAAACACTAAAATTTGTAACATGTGCCATTCTGAAATGCAAAGATAAGACTTTGTTGATCCCTAAAGAAAAGTTCACAGCACAGAGACGAGTTATGAGGTAAGAAAAATCATTGAAAAAGAAAAATGAATTAGAAATTAAAAATAAGTCAAAATAAAAAAGAAAATGCATACGATATATAGATCGTCATATTTGTGCAAATATTTGTGGAAAAGTGTCCAGTAGTGCAAAATATAAAACTTTAACTACACTTAAACAGTGAATGTGTAAAGAACATGTAACTTGTGTACCTCCTTATAGTTTTAGGTAAAGCATGCTGAAATTAACCTGAATAAACATGTAGAAGGTAATGTGATGCTTAAAAAATAAAAACATCAAGCACACAACTGTATAAACAGGATGGCAGGCTCACAAAATTATTAATTGGCACTTATTTTGGAGGATGCTGGCAGCTTCCTGCAGCCTCCGCCCACCAGTTTGTAGTTCAGCTCGATGACAAGCGAGCAGAACTCGCTCATACCGACGTAGTCACAGCACATAATGTTGACTCCCTCGGGTCCTGGCTGCTGCTCACCCGCCCAGCGGAGAAGCAGTGAGAGAGAGTTCAACGTCAACGTCCTCATGCTCTGGAAAGGGTGCAGGAAGACGTAAAACATGGTCTCTGTCAGGTTCAGACCGGTGACGTAAAAACCATCTGGAAAACAAAACAGTCTGTAAAGCCGGTGCTTAAAGAAACGAACAGCAAATAAAACCTGAGGTAAAATAAATCCCAGCTAGCTGCAGAAGCAGTACACTTCAGAGTATTTTTACTACGTCACTGACATTAGAGAAATACTTTTACCAACATATTCATTCCTTATTGATGCTGAAGTTTATAAGTCTTGGTTGTTTCTGTTTTGTTTTTTTATTTGTTATTATATTATTAAACTTATGACAATACTTCTGTCCATCTTGTCCAGGATGTTCTTGTAAAAGAGAGATTTAATCTCAAAAGTTAAAAAAAAAAAGGTTAATAATAATTATATTATATATTTCGATGGCTCAATCAACAGAATATGAATATTAGAAATTTGGTATTTAAAGGAATTATTCTGTTTTAATAAAAACATTTCATTTAAATTTTTGAATAAACCTTTTCAACTTTCAATAAAAACGTTCGCCACATGGGGGCAGCAAATACAAATCCATGATGGATTTTTATTAAAAGATTGCGTTGTCTGAATACGCTTTGAATTTTGAGCTAAAGCATAAATGATACTTCTGCACTGAATCTGTCAATCCTACTACATAAACCCGCAAAAGTGTCCAACATTGTTAGCAGCAAGTCTAGTATGTGGCGTGGCTGTGTTGCTGTGTAGTTTCTCTCCGATTTTATCCACTAGCTTCCTGATGATTAAAAGAAATTACAGCAGAAGAAGCAGCATCGGAGGAAACAGTGGTACTGAAAGCCATCACAGGCTGTGTCAACACGGGATGCATATATATGTACAAACTAACATTTGTACCTTTGGCAGGTTATTAAATCCAGTAAAGTACCTTTACAGTATATTCTGTATCCAGTACTTTTGCTCTAACGTTTTAAATAGAGGTCTGTAATGCTACTACTTTCCCTCACTGCACTACTTGTTCCAACAACCTCATACCTGGTCTTCCCTGCCGTTGCTGCCCTTCCAGATAGGTGATCACTTTCTTAGGATCTGGGCTGTTAGCATACCTGAACACACAGGACAGGTTCAATCATTTCAGTGTTAGTGACATGACCAACTGTGCAGACAGTAGCCTTGAAAAGTAAAAGTAATCAGGCAGTGCTTTAAATTTGTTTTTTCCCCCCAATGGCCACCAGTCTTGGTCACCAGTCAAAGACCCAAAAAGAAGGAGGGAGAGAAGAAGACCAAGAAAACCACATAAGGTCTAAGGTTTGAAAATAGGAGGAAACAAACTATCTTTACATACGTGTATATATTACATGCAACCAGTGTTTACATATTTAATATTGTATTTCACACCATTAATAAATAAACCAACAAGCACGTATTATGTCTGACAGTGAACACACATTAAAATATGACACTCCAATTATGTCATATTTGAACCTTTGGCTGTTGCTGTTCTCAGAGTGGTTTAAAGTCCCTGTACCAACATCTATTATTAATACTTTTGAGACACCAAGATGCTCAAAAACAAAACAAACAAAAAAAGAACAACTAAGACTGCCAGAGAAAGCAATCAGAACCGGAATCAAAGACACTTAAGCTACAAAGTCTGTCTAACCCTTCTACATACAGTCTATGGATTTTACCAATAAGGTATCCGATTCCACAGCCCAGGGTGCTGCAGCTCCTGGTCGTCATAGGAAACAATGACTTGCTGACCTCTGGACCAACATGACCGCAGAGTGGGAGTTTCCTGCATGCATACACATGAATCAAGCTGTCAGTTTATTAGGCACACTGTGCCAAAACCAATAACGATTACAGCAACACGTTTTAATTTTCGGAGCGTGACGTTTGTGGTGTGGTATATTAGCAGGTTTCTTGACTAGAGCAATACCTCTGATATTTGAAACACCTGAGTCGAAAAGAGTTTCAACAGAAACTGAACACCATGACCTAAATGATTAAAGGATTTATTGCAGGATTACAGTCTTAAATGCATTCGTTTTAGTCAAGGGTTCCCAATGAGCCTGTGGTTGAGATCAGTTCCATGTATTTATATCTACTGAAGTTAAAATGGTAAATCCTTATCTGAGAGGCTGAAAGCAGTGAATATTTGGTGTTATTAAACTTTAGAAATCAATCATTATCCTAATAATGTCTATCTACCTGTGGTGGGCACAGCTTCCCTCTGAACAGCAGGAGGATGAACTCCATCAGATGGGCGTGGTCTTCGTCACTTAGAGATTCGAAGTGTGAACAGGCAATGATTACAATCTCTTTGGGGTGAGCGTCCAGCCAGCCGGCCAGTTCATCCAGAGCCTCCTGCATGCAGACGGACATTAAAATTTGCTGTAAATTAGCTTTCACTCTGAATATCAATGCAGTTTTGGTGTAGTTTACTGACCTTGACGGTTATCAGCGTGTATATGCCGTGAGCGAAAAACAATTTGCTGCTCCCTGCTGGCTTTCTGGCGATCCGCAGGTCCAAGAAACGAACACCAAGATCACACTGATCAGAAAGGACCGATAGCTGTAGCCAAGAAAGACAATGAATATTGAAAGACCAGAACCAAACAATGACAGAGACTCCACCATGTTGTACAGATGGCTGTATCTCTCTCCTGATCTCCTCTGTACAATTTCACATTTGCATTCATCACTCCATCACACCTGTTGTCTCTGATTTTCAGTCTAATTCTTGCGTAGTATGACATATCTCAGCTTTTTCTTCCTGTTTCAGGTTACTTGCTAGTCACTTTTTAAAAATAGTTTTATAGATCCGCCTCTTCTTTTTTCTCCACTTGTGCAGCTTCCTCAAACGTTTTAATGACACACTACTGAGATCTGCCAAGTTTTCAGCTGATAGTGCTAAAAAGAACATTTTATGTCTGTTAAACTCTTATCTTTGGTATTTTTCTAACATTCAACCCATTTTTGTGACAGGCTTCTAGTAACAAAACGCTTAAAGATACAGTTTAAAGTTGGTTAGATATTTGCATGTGTAGACACAACACTTGTTCCGTCTTTGCGTTAGGAGCCTTTTTTGGATGCTGGAATGAGTCATACCTTAGTGTTAAGTGCCTCAACAAACAAAAAAGACATTCCTCTGAAAATGGTCAGGTTTAAGTACTGGGTGGAAATGATCAAATAAGCATCCAGATGTCCAAAGAAAAACATTCAAGGACCTTCAGAAAGCCTGGAGAACTGCTCAAGACCACTTTAACAAAAAAAAA